AGACTATTATAACCTTGGTACTTTTGCTGTACAACAGACAGGATGCGAAAACCCTAATGGACAGTGAGCAAGTGAATCGCACAGCTTCCACCAGGCATTTATTCCATAATTTCCCTCCAGTAATAGACTTTCAGAGAGGTATCTGTGGCTTATACCCTTGAGCGATGCTCGTTTATTGGCTGTAGGTAATTAAATGTAAGGCAGCATCTTAAATGGCATGCGAACATCGGTGTGGACTTGTGCAATGGGCGTTTTGCCTTCCTCACCTTCAGGAAAGTATCCAACGATCCATTCTCCATGTACTCTGTAATAATCATCACGGGCTTGCCTGTAGACACAAAGAGAGAGAAAAAAGAACAAAAACACAACATTTACCATCAGCCTAGATGGAAGGAAAAAAGCATAAAATGCCGTAACAGATTGATGATTCTACACAAATCCACAAAGAAATAAATCATGGTAATGGTGTCATTAATCCTTTATAGCTGAGATGCTGAAACACAGGAATGAAGGAGAGAAAAGAGAAGGCTAAACCCTGGCCACACTCTCAGCCTCTCTCTCAGGCAGCCCCATTATTCAGCATGACAGACCTTCATCAGAGCCTTCCACCATCAAAGACAGCAGTTAATTAACCCCGGCTAATCCACTGAGAACCAATTAGAGAGCTTTGTTGCCATGATGGGCGGTCAGGACAGTCTGTGAGAGCCGATGGGAGGCCATAGCACCTGTCGTGGTGGATGGCAGGTAGCGAAAGGAAGATCTCCTGTAATCTCGACACTTTAACTAAGTGTACTTAGTTTGTCTTACAAATGACTCTAGAACCCAAACTGAGAAAACAAAGTATTAGTCACCTGAACACAACACGTCTGCCCTCTCAATAAAACCATCAGTCTACTAGTTAGCCTGAGAAACACACATGTAAACATTAGAATCATAGTTTTCTTCATGTGTAAGGTCATTGACTTCCAACAATTACAAAACTTAAAGCATTATTATAAGTGCATTTCTGACAGAAAGGGTTCAAAATGTTGATCAGAAAATTATGTTGACTTCTAAGATGTCTCATTTTAGCCAAATTTAATTTAATTTAATTTAATTTATGCATTTAGCAGACGCTTTTATCCAAAGCGACTTACAGTGCATTCAGGCTATAAATTTTCCACCAGTATGTGTTCCCTGTGAATTAAACCCACGACCTTTTGCGCTGCTAACGCAATGCTCTACCACTGAGCCACAGGAACAAATGCTAATATAGCATCGCACATATCCTTTGCAAAATATGCAATGCCAGCCTGTGAATTTAAACCCACGACCTTTTGCACTGCTAACGCAATGCTCTACCACTGAGCCACAGGAACAAATGCTAATATAGCATCGCACATATCCTTTGCAAAATATGCAATGCCAGTTAGCCAACTAGTCAAAGAAAAAGAAAAAAAGTGGCTGTGGACATACATTTCATTAGTTCTCTCAATATTTCACTCAATATTTTTGTTTGATATCTGTTGTTGGTGCTTTTTATTTCTATTAGATTAACATGTTAGCTTAGCAATGTGCTAATGCCAAACAGTAGCTATAGAGTGCAATATTCAGGCTCTGAAAGTAAAAATCCCATTCATTTTCTCGATTGGTGGACTGTTTTTACCAATAACTTTGAAAACAGACCTACTGTGAGCTACAAGGTTGTTAGTTGATAGTTTATGCTTTTGTTGAAGCCGGCAGTCCACATTATTTCAACTTATTTTTTAAATAATTGTGTTCAACAACAAAATTCCTGGTGAAAAACTACATTACCCATGATTCTGCATGATTCTCCCTACACTCTCAAACTACTTCTACATTTGTACATATATGCATATTTTTCAATAATCCTAAAATATGTTATTTCTATGCAATCAACATCTTTAAAACAACAGTTTTGTATTAATCTATAATTTTTCATTGGATTATGCCATTTGCAATGCTTCATGGGATTGTAGTTCTTTTCTTCATTAAAGCCGTTAAGTACACGGTCTTGTACCTTTGTATTTTTGTCTGATTTTCAAAGATGTTTAGCTTTAAATCAAAGTTTCTAATATTGTGATTCACCTTGTAGCTGGTTGGTGTGGTTTATATCAAAGGGAAAAAACAAAGAATGGGAAAAATTTAACTAACCATTCATGTATTTGTG